GAGTTGAGGATGCTGGTCATGCGGTTGAGGTTGAAGGCAGAGTTGAGGATGCTGGTCATGCGGTTGAGGTTGAAGGCAGAGTTGAGGATGCTGGTAATGATGGTAATGAAGACAATGAACGTTCTGAGGATGAAGATGATTTTCTTCCATATATATCTGAATTGAGTGATAATGAAGATGAGGAAACTGTCGAGGCGAGAAAGAAAATGAAGTCTTTGCATGAGGCAACTTCGAGATAAAAAAAGGCTAAGAAAGGTGTTAAGTATGGTTGTAGTCAACCATCAGCAGGTATTTCATCAACTTTTACTTTTTTTAGTTCGTTAATGAGTTAATGGAATACATAATAACATATATGCTTTGCCTGCAGGAACTAGTCATGAAATTCCCTCATCTTCAACTGGTCACAATGATCTTGGTCCTGAGGATTCATTAAGCTCAGATGATGATATCAGCTACATTTCAACAAGTGAAGAGGATGGAAGTGAAGTTGAACACGCTAGGAGAAGGAAGAGTAGGCACAAAGTTTTCCGAGGAAAAGATGATGGCAATGTACAGATTGAGTTAGGCATGGTTTTTCTGAACAAAACTGAGTTTAAAAAAGCTGTGGATAAATTGAGCATTATGCAAAGGAGGCAAATCAAGTGGGTCAAGAATGATAAGAACAGACACAGGGCTATTTGTAATGAAAGGCACTGTGACTGGAAGATTTTGTTAGCGTGGGATAAGCCAACTGAGGCATGGATGGTCAAGACATTTAACAGTGAACACACATGTGACTGGGGATCGACCAATCGGAGATGTAATTCAACATTTGCAATGAACCATTTATTGAAGACTAAGGGTTTTACTGCTGTTTATTTGAAAAGTGTTGATATTTTTACTGAAATATGGGATGAGTTGAGCGTGGAGTTGACTAAAGTACAGTGTAGGATTATTAAAAGGAGGCTGAGAAAGACTTTTGAAGGGAATCATTCATTGGAATACAGCAAGCTTTTTGACTATGCTGCAGAACTGAGAAAAAGAGATCCAGGAGCCACTGTTTCGATTTATGCACTGAGGCCACTACCTGAACTGACCCTATTTTCTTGAGGATGTATGTGTGTTTTAGTGCAATGAAAAGGGGATTTATTGCTGGATGTAGGAGAGTCATTGGTTTAGATGGAGCTTTTCTCAAAGGACCACACAAAGGGGAATTACTTACTGCTGTCGGTAGAGATGCGAATGACCAAATGTACCCAATTGTGTGGGGTATAGTGGAAGTTGAAAAGGAAGAAAGTTGGTTGTGGTTTTTGGAAGAACTTAAATATGATTTGCAAATAGGAGATGGTGATGGTTATGCTATAATATCTGACCAACAAAAGGTATAATATACTTTATTTTAAAATGACTATATAATTTAGTGTACTTTTCAAGTTTCAGTTATACTGTCATACGTGCATGGTGTGCATGGTGTGCATGGAATAAGTTTATATATGCACTTTTTTAATCCCTTAATTATTATTACTGCAGTTTATTGGTCCCTAAACTTTTGTTATTGCACTTTTTTGGTCCCCCAACCTTTTATTGTTGCAGTTTCTTGGTCCCTGAGCTGATAATGTATTGTCATTTTTTTTATTATGGTTATAGTTGATAATGTCTTGGTTAAATGCAGGGGTTGATAAATGTCGTTGCAGCCCTTTTTCCAAATGCAGAACACAGACATTGTGCTAGGCATAGATATGCCAACTTCAGGAAGAAACACAAAGGGAAGGAATTGCAAGCCTTATTTTGGAGATGTGTGAAGGCACTGAATGAGGCAGAATTTAATGCAGCCTTAGCAGAGTTAGGCAAATTGAAGCCTGCAGCAAGGGATGACATAATGAATGTGGATCCCAAGCACTGGAGCAGAGCTTTTTTTAAAGCTGAAATTAAGTCATCTGTGGTCGACAATAACATGTGTGAGGTGTTCAATGCCTTACTTGTTGATGCACGACACAAGGCAATAATTT